GGGCTCCCTGCTCGGCGGGGAGTCTGCTTCTCCCTCTGACCCTCCTCCCTCTCATGCTCTCTGTCTCTCATTCTCTCTCGCAAATAAATAAAATCTTAAAAAAAAAAAAAAAAAAACAGGGGCGCCTGGGGGGCTCAGTCGGTTAAGCATCCGACTCTTGGTTTCAGCTCAGGTCCTGATCTCAGGGTCATGGGACAGAGCCCAGCGTTGGGCTCCGTGCTGGGTACGGAGCCTGCTTGGGATTCTCTCTCGCCCTCTGCCCCTCCCTCCCTTCTCTAAAAAAAGGGGCAATAGAAAAAAGACCTTCTTAAAAAAATAAAAGGAGTGAATTAAATCTATTACGTCAATGCTGACAGGTACAAACACCATGGTGACTGACAGAAGAAAAAATAGAACACCTCACATATAGTATGGCACCCTTGATGTAAATTAATTGTAAGTGACACAAAAAACAACTGAAAATGTTATTATATATTTTCAGTAGTATAGAAAAACACCCCCCAGAAGTCATATATGTCAAACCTTGCCACTTGCTGCATCTGTGTTAGATGATTCTAGAAAGTGAACCCCCCCACCCCCCACTTAACTGGTTGGATTTCTCTTTATTTACCCTGTTCCAGACTTGTGTTTCTTGAACCTGAGGAATTCCCGAAGCTCTGCATTTGTCATCTGTGACACCTGCTCTTCACCACTCTTGTCTCTTTCTGGACCTGCCCATAGTTACATATTGGACCTCCGGGTCTGCCCTCTGTGTCTTCTCAACTTCCTTTTATGTTTGCACTTCCTCTGTGCCACATTCTGAGCAATTTCTTCTCAACCTTCCAGTTTACTCTCTCTTCAGCTGTATCAAATCTGCCATTTAATCTATTAATTAAAATTTTACTGTCAGTGCCTAGATTTTTGCTGCCTATAAATTCTACTTGGTTTTTCTCAAATCTGTCTTTTTTCTGTCGGTATTGCTCTTTTGTTTTCAGTTCCTTCTTTGTGCTCAACCCCTTCAAACATCCTGATTTTAGTCTCTGTTGATCCACTGGCTGAAGTGTTTGGAGAGTTTACCTCTTCTGTTCTGTGTCTCTGCGCCCCGTGCTCGTGGTCTGGTTACGTGCTCATCTCCAGCAGGATTTTACCTGTCTTCCTCCAGTCCTGCATGTGCTTCTCTCAGGAACTCTGGAATGGTTTGCCTGGAACCACTTGTTGGGTTGATATTTTGGCTTTGTTCTCCCTGAACTATATTGCTAGGATAAATTCAAACCCCAAGCCCCTCTGGGGGCCGACCTGTGATTATGAATTATCAGGGAGATCTTGTTGAGACCAAGAGGAGAAAGGTGAGCGTCAAGGTCATTTCCCTGTGCTGGCAGGTATGTTTCTTTCAGTTCACCGTGTGAGGTGAGTTCCTGCCTGGAATGAGGTCAAACCCCTCTCTCCTGTTTCCAGGTAGGCATTAAAACTCAGGACTCCAGGGTAAGGGGACCAGCAAATGCCACTTGGAGGAGTGTGGCATTCCTGGTTCACAGGCTCATGACCTGCTTTTCAGCTCCAAGTTCTTCTCTGACCCTTATTTCCTTAAAAGCTCACCAGTGCCTTTAAAAGGATATCTGTTGTATGTGGAAAGGATCTTGTCATTCTCTAAGCCCCCCGCAATGCTGAAGACGAAGACACCGTGTCCTGTATGTTTGTGTATCTAAAACAAGCCAGTGGCACATTTCAGGGGAATGGAGAAGGAATGGTGTGCTTGGCCCACGGATCTCTTCATGTCACCTAGACTGTGTCTCTTCTATAAATCACACACACACACACACACACACGATACGTGTAGGCTGTGGATCTATCAGTTTTTACATGAAAAGATGAACCAAATGTGGCAAAATGTGATCAGCCACGGCTGTGTAAGGACCATGCCATCCTTTACACTTTCCTCTAGTGTGTTGATTTCTCACAAGTTAAGACAGACACTGGAAAGAAGGTAGAAAGTGTTTGAGAGCCGCACGGTCCTCCCGTCTCCGGAAATCCGCACGCGTGACCCGCCTGCCCCGTGCGCCGCCCCTCGGAAACCTCTTCCCGAGACCCCGGGGGAGGGGAGAGCCGTGTGCCTTTACCTTCTCCTGGTACAGTTTATGAAGCCACTGAGCCGCTTCCTTCTCATCCAGTGGGATCTCTTCCAGAGGAAATCTCCTGTTCGGGTAAGAAGATTGAAAGCACAGTGACTTACCCGTGGGATGGCATCAAACAGGGGAGCAGTCGCTGCGTGGTGGGGGGGGACTCGCTGGCCCCACCTTTTCTGGTCGGGCCTCACTCTCAAGTTCTAAAACCACACACACATCCAAGGCATTCAGCCGGAGCGCAGAGCAGCTGGCACCTGGCCCGCGGGGGCGGCGGGGGCCACGGAGGGAGGGCAGGGAGGTGTGTTCTTCCCCAAGGCACAGCCAACACTTTCCACGGGGGTGGGGGGGGGGCTCACAGGCAGTTTAATGGAACAGACCACGCCCCCGTTTCCACTGAGAAGGGTGTGCACTTGTGAGCTCCAGCAGGAGTTTTGGTCTTTCCTAATAGTCCACTCTTCAGAAATAATCAAAACTGAGAGCGTCTTCCATTAGGCAAAGAGGATTATGTAGTTCACAAAGGAAATCTACTTGCTCCAAATATGAAAAGCAATAGAGATTCAGAACTTTAATCTTAACTCACAAATAGCTGACTTCGGTGACACTTACTTATGACCCTAATCACCAGCAGGATCACCCGCCCAGGAGCGCAGGTGTCTTGGGGGAGACAAGCAGGGCAAGAGGGCGCCCCACGGCAGCCGCAGTACCCGAGGCCGCCAGCAGGGGACGCTGGGGACACGCGGGAGCAGGAATGACCAGGGCGGTGGTCTTCCCACCGGGCTGCCCACCGGGTGGGCCAGAGTGAGAGCAGCCTGCCAAAATCTCCATGTTTGAAGTTATCCTAACCCAACTGTTTCCAAAAGTGGAGAGCTTTGTTTTATGTGGGTTATAACCTGTCGATCTTCACTGTATTTGAAATGAAAACGGACACATGAGAACGAGGACATGGACACGGGAGCGAGGGCGGTGCCACGTTCACGCAGCCTCTGGGAACCACTCTACACTCCCGGGGAGTGAAGGAGACGTAGAACCCCCCATAAACAAAGATGCTCTAACTCTGAGGACCCCGAAAGCTCTTGGGAACCGGTGCACCCCAGCTAAGGAGACAAAGCTCAGAAGGGGTGTCCACTGAGGGATGGCCGCCTCCTCCCCTGGTTTGTATCCACATCCTGCGGTGGATCACCACACCCAGGTCCTCGTGTAGGTCTGCTGTACGCAGTATGAAAAGTATAAAATAAGAATTTAAAAGGATGATAAAAAAAAAATAAATATATGAGCACCTATCTCCCGGAGAGGACTCAAGCCCCTTTAAGGATGCTGGCCCCAAGTGCCAGATGAACGCGGGGAGCCTCAGGCCACCACCACCGAATGCCCCTGGCCTTGCCCCCAGCGCAACTGCACCAGGAGGGGAACAGGAAAAGGACTCAAAAGAGGAAAGCTCCATCGGCCGACGAGAGCTTTGTCTTGTTTGATTATAAGCATGTTTTGGACTCACTGCAATATTGCTTTCCTTCAAAATACCCAAAAGGTAAGTATCACAAAATAGCACACTGAAGCTTTTAGACGTTCTAAGAACTTGTCTGTTAAAATAAGATTAGGTAAAGTATAATCCCAGGCTTTCTGCAACAAAGGGGACAATGAACAGAGTAAGGCACAGCTCTTCTCCGGCAGGGGTGACTGTCCACTAGGAGGAGCAGTGCAAGCTGGTGCTCTGGAGCCGGACCAGGAGGGCTCGCCCAGCTCTGCCACCTCCAGGCTGGGACCTGGGGCAGTTGAGACCAAGCCCCGGGCCACCCCGACCGCCCAGGGGCCAGCGAGGGTGAGGACAGACCCCAAGCCCACCACTGCTGTCACTGCCCTGGGCCACAGCACATGTTCTGGTCAGAGCCATAGCCAGAGCTGGAGGCCACCAGGACCACCAGGGCCCCAGATAGGCCACCCGGTCCCCGCTGGTTCCAGAGGTCTAAGGGCAAGGACCTGGGGCTCTCTCCCCGTCCGAGGATGGAATAAGAGAACCTATACCTCCTCTGAGCCAATCCACTGCAAACTTCAGGAGGAAAAAGCCCCCTGGCTTATTCTTTACATTCACAAAGTTATTCCTGGGGCGGGGGGGGGGGGGGGGGTGGGAACCGGGTGTGGTTGCTGTTTTAGATGTGCTCGGGATTGACATGAAGTGGGCCTCCGAGAGCCCTGGGGGCCAGTCTGACCGGGGTGGACACTCAGTGCTGGCTGGTGACAGGCAGGGGCGCTAACAGGGCCCGTGATTTGTGCTGACACCAGGGAAGGTCCGGCCTTCCCGCACATTTGAAGGAACCGGGAGGGGCGGGGCTGCCAAGTTCAACTGGGATGATCCAGGCAAGAGGAGGACCTGGAGGGCCGGCCTACAATTATGCTTGGAGCTGGGGTCAAAGTCAAAACCCCCTTTTATTAAGAACACCAGACCCCCTGGGCTGGGACAGCTCACCCTTCTGCCTATGGGAATCCTAGTCACTGTCCAAGCTGAAGCTCAGCCCCTTTTAAAAAGCCTCTGTGTCCCTCCAGCAGGAGAGGTTGTTCCTGTCTTCAGAGCATGCAGAAGGGTCTGCCTTCACCCCAGACCCACTCCTTCACCTTGTAGGACAGCGAGTGCTTCTCGGGTCTGTCCCCACATCTGCAGTTCTGGGGAGCAGGCTGCCTCCACTGGGTGCCCGGGGGCCCAGTGCCAGGAGCTGGGGACACGGGGAGGGGTGCTCACCTCACACACATGTCCGCCTCGTACTTCTTCCCATAGAGGATTCCCAGCAAAGACGGGTTCTTGTTTCCACGGAAATTCAGCGTGACGTCGTAGACGGCTGCGACTGCAGGGAGCAGCAGGGGTGAGACCTGGGCGGGCGCCTGCGTCAGCACCCACGCTCACACCCACACCCGGCTCGGCCCCGCACCTGCATCCAACTCAGCCCTGCACCCCGCTGGGCCCCACACCAGCACCTGACTCAGCCCCGCACCCGGCTCAGCCCTGCAGGCTCCTCGCCTCACACGTGGGTGATGCACGTTACTGCATTTACTGACCATTTGTGTTCAGATTTATGGTCTCGTTGCTTTCTATTTGTACTCCCTGTTCTTTGTCCCTATCTTTGATCTTGCCTCCTTTGGGACTCATTAGATATATGTATTTTTTCCTTTTATAAGGTTTTAAGTTACACAACTTTTTCATTATTTATTCATCATTTATTCCATTAACTAGCATTTTATCACCCCTGAAACGCTAGGACCAGCTTACACACGGTGCCTCCACCTACTGGCTCTCCCTTTCCGTCCCGCTGTCCTGCATTTTACACGTCATTCACTTATGTAGTCTTGGACAAATCACTTTTGTGTCTTGCTGCACGCAGAGCCCGAGAGAGAGAGCGGCGGCCTCTTACCCGTCCCTCGGAGGCACTGGACCGCCGTGGTGAAGCCCCTGGTTCGGGGCAGCAGGTGGTACTTGAGGACGGGCAGCCCCTTGGAGATGGCCACCTCCATGCTGACGCGGTGCTTCTTCTCCGTGAAGCGCGTGCCCTCACAGTACAGAAGGAACTAGGGCATGGGGGGGGGACAGGGGTTATCCCAGGCGACGGGCTCCAACGTTGCCCCGCACCGAGCGTGTGCTGCTGATCTGGAGCAATGACACAACACTCTAGTGACAAGTGAGGTGTCCTGTACAATGTGACTGGATTTAGGGCTGCAATCCACACTCCAGCCACACGGAGCCCCTCAGAGAACAGCAAACAGCACGGCACTGATTCTCAAAGAATGCCAAAGACAGCTTCCCAGAAAGAACTGGAACAGGAAGGGGTGCCCAGGCAGCAGCCTTCCCACCAGTGACTGGAAAATCGTTAGTCTGTTATCAATTTGCCTCAACATGAGGATCAGAAATGCAACTAAGTAGCCAGTTCTCAAAGAAATACTTCCAGGGACCAGATTAGAAACAGAAACGATGTCCAAACTGACCGATGGCCACTACTTCGGACGGCTGGCCCATCAGACTCATGGAAGGGGCTGGAAAAATAGGAGGAAGCCCCCGCCCCAGGGGCCTGAGGGGTGGATGTTCTTGAAAGCAAGCTAAATTTTCTCTGAAGTACAAATCAATCCCCAGAACCACAGGGTCCCTGGGGTCTGCTGTGCAGCCTGGCTCCCCGGAAGCTACTCCCTGCAGAGAATGCCCCCCGAGGGGCTGGGCAGGTGCTCTCAGGGCGGCTCCATCGCACAGCTGAGCCGGGGATGCAGGAAGGGGGCTCATTTCCTCTCCAGGCCCCCTCAGCAGGGCTCTGGGTCTGCACTGGGGCAGGTAGAAGCAGCTGGCCTGGGAGGGGCCCCCGGCCTGCAAGCTCAGGTGAGGGCCCTGGTTCTGCTGTGAAATTGCTCCCCAGTGCGGGTTCTCGTCGGCCACAGCCAATCATGTAGTCGGGGCGGGCGGGTCAGGAGACCTAAAGCCATCCGGACTGAAGCCACAGGGCACTCACCCACATGTACTCGGGGTAGTCGGACAAGCGCTTCAGCCCCTCGATGACAGTGTCCCGGTCCTCCTCCCATTTCCGCTTGCAGAACACGATCTCCAGGAAGTACCACGTCCAGCCGATGAGGGGCACATAAAGCAGCTCCCTCTTTGCGAGGACTTTGGAACTCTGGAGGGAGGGGGCAGGCATGAGGGTCAAGGCGCCCCTGGGACTGGCTTGGTGCTTGGTGACTTTGCCGTCAACGAGGAGGCCCTGCTCTGAGCATGGCCACTGGTTTCTGCACGACCCCAAGGGGGCAGACGTGCTGTCCTATAGACAAGGAAACTGAGGCACAGGCTGGTGGAGAGAGGGGTGCCCGCTCTAGCCACCAGGCCCTGGGCTGCCTGAGGGTGGACCTGGGACAGCCAAGTACAGCTACTTTCACTGCAGTGCTCTGTTCGGCCTGCCTCAGGGGGCCCTTGACATTTCCCTGAGGCAGTTCAGCTGGCCAAGGGAGCTCTGTAGGGACTCTGGGTAAGTACGGGTTCATGGGAGGAAATGCAATAAGCCTGAGCTCCAGACAAGCCCTGGGGAGCTGAGGGCAGACCTGACCTCAGACTCTGGGCTCAGAGGGTCCAGGGGCTACACCAGAAGAGAAGGAAAACCCAGACCCCATGCCACTCACTCCCAGCACCTCCCCGGGGCCCCCGTGTGGAGCACCCCCAGCACCTCCCCGGGGCCCCGCACTGCTCACCCCCAGCACCTCCCCGGGACCCCCATGTGGCTCACCCCCAGCACGCCAAACCGCTCACACATGGTCCACCCACAGAGGAAATCAATTTCAAAGTTGTGGTTGAGGATGATGACCACGTGCTCCTTGCCGAAACGGTCCACCGTGGCCTGGTCAGTGAACAGCGTGCACTCCGTGCAGGACCACCACTCCAGCAGCATGACCAACTCTGCAGACACAGGGGAGCGGCGTCAGCAGGTGCAGGACGCTGGGCTTGGATACGGGAACCCCGCTGCAGGAAGTGCCGGCCAAGCCCGTGCTCAGGGGACTTTTACAGAATGTTCATCCAGGTGGGACTTCCAGCTAGAAATGAGTTTTGATGGTTTAGGTTTCATAAATTTAATTTTCCAAAATTGTAATGACCTTTTCTAAACAAAAGTCAGGGAAAAGACAAATGGAAAGCAGAAGTGGAAGAAAACCGTAATCTTAGGTGGACGTCTTTATGTCCTATTATGATTCCCACAGGTGCTGTGATTCGAGGGACGATCACATTTTATCCACAGAATGGGGGCACAGGGGCTGGGTGCATGCACATAGCCAGCCCCAGGGCCACCGTGGTCGGCAGTGTGACTATGCCCACCACGGCCAGGCGTCCTAAGAAAGGTGACCCCACAGACCAAGAAGCACGGCTTTCGCGCTCAGGATCACCATAGGACGGCCCCGTTGTTTTTGTGCTCAACACCAGCCCCTCCATCTTCTGATGGGACCGGCCCTGGGGGATGGAGGCCAGGGCTTGGAGAGCAGGCTCCACGTCTGACTGCCTGGGCCTCAGTTTCCCCATTTACAGAAAGGAGAAAATAGTGGCTTCCTTACAGGGCCCCTGGAGGACTCCACGAGCCACAGCTCATGACGTTAACACCCAAGAACCAGACGACTGGGGCTGGTCCCTCCTTCCCGATGGGCATCCCCACCAGCCTGGGGCAAGGTGGGAGCTGGACGGAAGGTCTGCCCCTCAGATGATACCTGGACACTCACCAGCCACAGTCCCTGCCACCCGGGAGACAACCCGAGGCAGGGTCAGCGGAAAAGGCCACCTGTCAGAGGCAAACTCGGCACCAGTGACCCGGCTAGCCCTGGCCGCTTCTAGCCCGCATTCACAAGCCTGGAGAAAGGCGCAGGCGTGGAAGACAAACGATCCAAACAGACCTTTCTCAAGTATTTACAGGCGGCCCACAAGCACACGAGATGATGCTCAGTATCACCAGCCATCAGGATGCGCCCAAACCACAGTGAGACACCCCTTCCCGCTCCTCGGGATGGCTGTCACCGGACACCGACGGGAGAGACAGGAGCCCCGCCTGGCGCCGTGCACGTGCTGGGCACTTTCTCGGTAACTGGTGTCCACACGGAGCTAGGGGACGGCCCCGCGGTCGCACCCCAGGGATCTGCCCAGGAGCCACGAGAACAGGTGTCCCTGCAAACACCTGTGCACAGATGCTCAAAGCGCCGAGCAGCAGACACCAGCCAAATGCCCACCGAGCCACGGCCGGCCGCACAACCAGTCCCACCGCCGCGTCACGTGACCCAGCCGCAACCTGGGCGAGCCTGGGAAACAGTGAGTCCGTCTTGAAGGACCGACCCGTAGGGGCTGCATGCGATGTCCAGAACGGGCAAACCCACAGACAGGAGGCAGCTGACTGACTGCAGGGCTGGGGGATGGGCGGCGGCTGTGAGTGCCTATGGGGTTTCTTTCTGGGGTGACTACACCAGGACCGCTGGGCTGTACGGACGGTATAAAGGGTGGATTTTGTCTCGGTAAAGCTGTTGAAAAGAAAAGGAAGGAAAGCAGAGGCCAGGAGGCCGGCCGCTCGCGCATCTGGAAGCGTCCCCTGCTGATGCGGGGAGGGGGGGCAGCCGCCACCCCCCCCACCGGGGAGACACAGCCCAGAGCCGCCCTCTCCCTCTCTCTCTGTGGCTCTTGTTTATCGGATGGCGGCAGCCCTGGCAGGGCCTGCGCCAAGTCCCCAGGGGTGAGCTGGCTCACGAGGGACTATGGTGGAGACCGTTGCTTCTAAAGAGACTTGTTGGGGAATGGGGGAGTGTTTTTTCCATTATCCTAGTAAGAACACTTGAGACGCGCCCTCCGAACACACCTCCAGTGCACAATCCGGCACCGTTACCACGGGGCACAGGGCTGGACGGCGCACCACATCACCAACCCTAGGCCCCTCCAGGGTGCGGCCGATTTCAGGTCCCTTTTGGAAGCGGGATGGGGCAGTACGTGTCCTTCTGGGACCAGCTCACCTCACTTCACGCGATGTCCTGAGGTTTCATGCGTGTTGTCCCCTGTGGCAGGAGTCCCTGTGTAAAGGCCAAATAATTTCCCACTGCACGTAGGACCGCGTTTTCTCTATCCGTTCATCCATCACTGGACACGTGTTCAGACTGTGGGCTCGTGGGAACGACGCTGCCGCAGACACGGGCAAGTTCTTTCTTATCCTTTGTTCGAGAGGAGCCAATACGGCCTCAGCCTCCTGACTCAGAGCCACCAAGGGCAGGAGTGCAGTGCGCTGCTGAGCCGCAGGCTGGCTCGGGGGGCCCCCTCCCCAGCTGTGTGGCCCCACCTGCGAGAGGGACGGCACAGCCCCCTCCCCACAGGTGCTCCGGAGCGGGGCCACCTCGCGGTCAATGTCCATGAACGCTGGCTCTCTCAGCCATCCCTGTGTTCCAGAGGCGCCCAGAGACCGCAGACGGAGGGCCGGATGGACAGGCACCCCAAATCCCCCACAGACGTTCTGTGAGGACGAGCCACGGCCCGTCCCGGAGAGCGGCTCTGTCGGAGCGTCACCAGGCTGCTCCTCCCCGCCTGCCAGTCGGCAGCCCAGGGACCGGCGGGTGGGGGTGCCTGCCCATCTCATCTGGAGACCAGCAGCCTCTCTGTCCGTGGAGCGTGGAGCCGCCAGGCGGCTGCCAGTCTGCCATCGGTGCCTGCAGCCCTGGCCCCGCGGGGGAGCACTCTGAAGGAGTCTTGCTGGGGGGCTCCTGGGCCCAGCCCTCATTTTTCGGTGCGATTTCCTTCATTCAGAACGAGCAAGCTCTCTCTTTCAGCCACTCGCTGCGCATCACCGTTCTCAAACTCCCTGCATTGACTCGATCTGGATAGAGCGGCTGCGAGGGAGGCGATTTTCTCTTTTCCAGCCGGGAAGGTTCGGCATGGCCAGGTCAGCGGGAGCCGGGGCCCGGACGAGGGTCACACTGGGAACGCGCTCAGGGCGGCTAGCGGGAGGGCGCCAGGCATCACAGGGTGAGAGCAGGGTTCGCGTCCAGCCAGACACTGGACAGTGGCTCAGGGTCATTAAAACAATGATGTGACTGCAGCCCTCCCCGCATGCCCCTGTAATCTGGGGGAGCCTTCCACTCAGTCCAATTCAGAGGGGGACACCTGTGGAACACCCCCGCTTCAGCGGGTCCCTCGGGGGCTCCCACAGCCTCGCGCTCAGCAACAGAAGGCCGGCGCCCCTCGCCGGCGTCTGGGATGCTCCCCGCACAAGGGGCTCACTCCAGTCTGCTTCCCGCTGGGAGACAGGTTTTGTTCTCAG